ATTTAATTTTATAATTAAAAATTAAAGCAAAAATTTCCTTTAAAAAAAGAATAGACAATATTTGGAATATCTAACAACTTGAGAAAAATTAAGAATTAAATTTAAGCTTTATATTTGGACCAAAAGAAATTCCAGATACATTAGATATTCAGATACTTAAAAAAAAAAAAAAAGAGGAACAATGAGTACTAGAAGAAAATATAAGGAAACTTACTTGGTCTCCAGAGATTCGTAAGTCAAATAAAATGCAGCAGCAAAACTACCATATATAAAAGTCACTGTATACAAAATTAAAACACAAGTGAAAAGCCAGAAAATAGTTGCATTTTGTCAGAAAATAATGCAAAAGCAGAAGACAAATAATTGTAAGGATAAATGGGCAATAGACATGAACAGCCAAGTCCATAAATGAGAAATTAAAGTGGCTAACAAATATATTTAAAAAGTTGCTTTTGCTAGTAACTGAACAGAGACAAATAAAATAATAATGCTGGATGATTTTACTCCTAAGAAATTGATAGAGAAGATATGGGAAAATAGCCTCTCTTGTAAAGTACTGGAGATGTAAATTGGCAAGTCTTTTCTTTTCTTCTAATTGAAATATAATTGACTTACAATATATTAATTTCAGGGGGAAAACCTTTCTTGAGGGCAGTTAACAATGCATATGAAAAGCCTTAGAATTTGGAATACCTTTGGCTCAATAATTACACTTAATAGGAATTTATCATGGCTATGCATAAAGATGTAGTTAAAAATATTTTATCCCAGTACCGTTTATAATAGTGAAAAATAAGAAACAACCAACACGTCCCAAAATGGACAATTGATATAATAATTTTTAAGATTTTGATGTATCTGTGCAATGGCATATTACACAGTATTTTAAAATAATGTAGAATAATACTTAGTGACATGTAAACATGTATTTGACATATTAAGTAAAAGTCAGACAAATTGAGAATAACTGGATGGCCACTAAAACATTAACTGTGTCTATTTTGGGGTGTTGATTAAGGCTGCCGTTTATTTATTTGCTTAGCTTATCTGTGATTTCTAAGCATGTATTTTGTAATAAGACAAATAAACTATTTTAAAAATAGTGATTGGTTTTAAGCAATAACTTGAAATAAATATGCTTTAGTCCTTTCTAATGTTGCTCTGTCTATATGGATTTACTGACTTACTTAAAGATTCTCCACAAAAAAAAACTGTCCAGTGAAAGAAACTGAGGAAGTGGGTGGGGTGTGTGAATTAGGTTTATAGGCTGAAGTAAGTGGGATACTAAAAAGATAGTTGTTATTAGAAAACTTAGTGCTAAGACGCCTCTTTTTATTTTAATGTACTTTTAAAGTTGAATTTATTAACATATAATATGATTAGTTGGCAAGAAATGCTGTGCTACTGTGTTAAGACTTAGAATCATTACTGAGAGAATAGTAGGAATAGGAGCAACTGACTGAATCTAAATGCTTTTTTGTTGTTGTTCTGAAAAAATTAGCTAAATAAGGAAACCAAGATGTTGAAAAATCAGTGGGAAATACTGCGTACGGCAGATGTGTTTATTTCTATGTCCTTATTTTAAAAAAATCTTTCCTGTAGATATCAAAATAAGAATTTGCTGCTCTGAAAAGCAGTTGGTTATGATAAATTTAGACTATTAAGGAGGCCAGGTAATCTTTGGAAAAATTTTGATTAATATTATCTCCTTATTGCCTCAATACAACATTCATATTTTGCCTCTTTATACCCAAATTCCTTAATATGATAAAAGTTGTATTTCATTGATTTAATCAGGTCAATCTATTTAATGTAGTTATGAGCCTAGATTATTTCCCTTTTGGTAACTTTTTGGTTTTGCTTGTTTGTTTAAGATTACATTTGGGAATTTAAATATCTTTTTGTTCAGCGCAATTGCATCCTAGAAAACCTAGAGTTGCATTACAACAGCATGGTCATCCTGTGAGTGCCTGTTTGATGATGATATAAGGGCAATTACATTTAAAGCAAAGTTCCAAAGAAGCACACCCTCCTTTGTGAAGATGTCAGATTTAGCAGCACACCTAGAGGATAAGCATTCAGGTAAGATCTTTATAAACATAAGATACTGCTAGTTTTAATATAAGCCAAGAAGCTACCATTTGTGGAGAAAAAAATGTATAATTGAATATAAAAGTGAAATGTAGATCCTTGTAAATAGCTGAAACAGATGGTGGCATCTTCCTAGCTTTTTGCCTCAATCCTTTGAGGTTAATTTGTAATTATTAGGGATTACTTTAAAATATTTTTGCGTAGAGTTACAAACAGCTTATCATTTAATCAACCAGAAATAGAAAAATGACCCTAACCAGTGTCACTATTGAGATATACTAAGCTATCATCTATACACAATTGTTAAAATTTAACATTGATACAGAATTTGCGGAATTTACTCACTGCGTGGTATAATGTAATCACATACTTCCTGAACTCAGATGTGGGTGTGTGTCTATAAATTTCATTTTCAGAAGCATACTACATAGAATAATGCCTTCGATGATGAGTTTTACAAACACACTCACACAATTTCCATGAACTAAATGTAATTAAAGTAATTTATTTTGAGTGAAGAAGTAAAGGGGGTATGTTTTAGGTTCAATATGCTATACACTTTGGGATGAAGAGAGAGTAAAATAGTGAAAATAACCAGAAAAATTGCTACCATTTTAGTGGGAAATGCTTTTCACTAAATTGCATTGGCTTCCTAACTATAGAAATGATAATAAAAAAAATTGCTAACTCCTGGTTGAAGGTATAACAAACTACACAGCATTTAAAGATATATTTAAGGTTGCTGAATCCCAGTAATTAGTAAATGTCAGTGATTAGCAGTTTTGGAAACTAATAAAAGTTTTCCAGTAGCTTTTATAGCAACTGTATTTAGAGGGCAAATACGGGTTGAAAAAAAATGAGGTGTATCTGTAGGTTTATTGTTATAGTAATATAAATTTTTTAATGAAGAGGAATATTTGCCCCAAATTTTTCTTCAGAATTTGTATAAGATGACTATTTTTGGTGCTTATGTAGGTTGAATTATTAAGAATAACTCAGGAACTTTGGATCTTGATACTAAATTTTAACTTTATTCACTCATTTTCATAAATAATTTTCTGAATTCTTATAGATGGTTTTAGATTTCACTACATGCTAGATGTGGTTTAAGTGAAATAAGATTATTTTTAGTTTTTCTAATGAAAAGAATCTGGTCCCCAAATAGGTTGAAGCTCGTAAGAGATTCATGGTAAGATTCTCAGCTGTATTTCTCTCTTTTTGGTTTATTCACAGAAATGTAAGAGTTGTGGCATACACAGTTAATAGGATATTTCAGAGTTAGTGCTTTTCAAGTGTGGCTCAGAGTGTCTGATTTTTTTAATTATTAGAGATTGTTCATTATAAAAATGATACACAGGGGGCAGGTACAGCTCAGTGGTAGAGTGTGTGCTTAGCATGCACAAGGTCCTGGGTTCAATCTTCAGTACCTCCATTAGACAGAGAGAGAGAGAGGAAGGAAGGAAGAAGGAAAGAAGGAAGGAAGAAAGAAGGAAAGAAACCTAATTATCCCCCCAAAAGCCAAAGATTTATTTTCAATAGAAAAGAATCAATAAATATATATGTATGTATATATGTATAACTGAATCGCTTTGCTGTGCACCTAACATTGTAAATCAATTACACTTCAGTAACAAATAAAAATTAAAAAGATACGAAAATCAGGAAAGCAGGAAAATACAAAAGAGTAAAGAATAAAATATTACCCCAAATCCCAAACCCACAGATAAGTGCCTGTGCTGTGTCAAATACACTTTAGTAAACCTCATTCTCCTTGAAGGACAGACCAAAAATTGCAGTGGAGTTAATTAAAGAAAGTATTGAGCATCACACAGACGTTTCTCCATGAGACAAACTAGTTCCCCACCCCCTGCCGCCACAAAAACCCTAAAGTTAAAATGAGTCTATGAAACCACTAACAGATTAGGGCTTTAAGTGGAGAATCTTTAGTTTGATTATAATCTGTGTGTTTTTAAAATTTAAGTGTCCAGGTAGTGACAATTAGACTCATAAAAATAAGAGTATTTCTGAACAGACAAGTCTATTTTTGAAAAATTTTTTAAAGAACGACGTTTAAGACTACTTTCACTCTTGGGGAGATTCTCCTAGGGTAGTCCCTGAGTATGGTCCCTCCTGCAGAGCTTCCTCCCCACCCTCTGATCACAGCCCAGTGGGTGCAGATGCAAGAGAGAACTGGCCTTTCGTCCTGCAGAGGGAAACGTGCAGACCCGCATCTGTCCACCCCGGGTGGCCGGTGCAGAGCCGTGGTTGCAGCCTCTGGGAATTGGTGGCCTAGCTCCTAGGACCCAGGGAAGCCCGGATCATGAAAAAGGCCAGGGAAAGAATTGTCCTCCCGAATCACCGATGTCAGAAGTGGTGTGGCCCTCGGGGACCATTGGTCCTAACTTTCAGAGAAGTCTGGGACCCGGGGAAGCTGGAGCAGGGTGGGGAGGGCACTGGCAGGAAAGCAACCAGGCAGAGCAGCTGGGCCTGCCCTTCTCTCCTTACAGCAGGGATGCAGCGAGTTAGGGCTCAGGACAGAGACGGTTCCACAGCTGCCAGCTGTGGGCTGTCTGAGCCCCGTGAGTGCCGCCTCCCAGCTCCCCCAAATAACAGTACACACGCACACAGAAGCCCCACCCCCTCCTCAGGCTCCCCTGTGTCAGTAAATGACACCCCCACCCCCAGGCGCCCAGGTCACTCCCTGCACGTCGTCCTGGATCCCCCTTGGCCCCCACCTCCTCATCCAGTCCTCCCCGCAGTTCTTGCTGCCTCTGTGTCCAAGTGCAGCCTGACGTGCCAGCCCCTCCACAGACTCACTGTACTTAGAGCAAAGCCCCAACCCCTTCCTGGGGCTCCCGAGGCACTGCCCCTCGCCTCTCACCTCTTTCCCCTCAACCAGCTCAGCTGGTTATACCTCAGGTCTTGGTCACACAGCCTGGAACCCTATCCTATGGGACTTTCCCTGGCCGTCCCCTCAGCTGGCCTCAGCTCCAGGACCACCGCCTCAGAGAGAGCTGAGCTTGCTAGGAATTTCAAATAATATACAAAAGTACAAAAGTTGTATATGCACTTGAAGCCGCCTTCACCTACCTTCAGTGATGGTCAACCCCGGCCAGTCTGGTTTTACTGATCCCTCACCATTGATTATTTTGAAGCAAATCTCAGACATTGCATCATTTCCTGCATAAATATTTCACTTTCTTTTAAAGAAAAATTGTCTCTAAAAGACAGGACAGGTCACCTGTTCTTAAACAGCTGCCCTTCCCTTGTGTGTTGACGTCACAGCACTTTTCATTTTAGCATTTGTTTGTTCATTGTTTGTTACTTTATTGTCTGTCTCCCTCCCCAGTCCCTCCAATGTCAGGCCCTGGAGAGCAAGGCGTCTGCCTGGCTTGTCCCCACTAAACCCCCGAGCCCTGCACAGTGCCTGGTGCACGGGAGGTGTCAGAACAGGGCAGAGAAGAGAAGCTGCTTCTGCCAAAGTGTGAGCTCTGCTCGCCAAGGGCAGGCAGAAGGGGAGGGATGGATGGATGGACAAGTCCATTGGCATTCTTCTTGTGTGGTTGTCTTAGATAAAAAACCTATCTCTGTGGAAGATGCCACCATAAAATGCCCAGGAGTAAAGACAGAGAAGCCAGATGAGTAAGTGCCCAGCCTGGAGGCCACGTGGGCAGGTTTTGCCACCATCAAGTGTAAAGAATGTGGGACGCCACCTCTCCTGAAGCAGTACTTGTCTGTCTCCAGGAGCGCTCAGGGAATCCTCCACACCTGCCCTGGCTGATGGTCCTCTGGGGATGCACTGTGGCCCAGGCTCTGCAGAGGAGGGCAGGATGCAGGAGATGATGTGCCCCCAGGGTGGTGCCTTTGCTCCAGGCAGACTTTTGGAGCTAAACTCACATACTCTAAATACAGAGGAATCGGGATGGTGTCACCGTACTGCCATCCCTGGTCACTTAGCTCATGGCCAGGAGGATGTCTGATCCCATGTGGGGGTCCTCACTGCCCGGGCAGCCTTCATTGCAGAGGTCAACCTCACAGTACTTTGGGATGAGCTCTCCTTACCCTTGCTGTCTGCTCTGCGGTGGCCCCGAATGCCTGGTGTTCAAAGTCATTACAGCGAGGAGACTATGAGCTACAATGCGAGCCAAGTGAAAGAAACGTGTCTGTCCGGCGTCGTGGTCACTGCCTGCCCTTCCTCTGCTGCAGGGAGCTGCGTGTTGACGTCGGCCTGAACCACGGGACTGCCGTCACCAACACCGAAGTGTGCATCAGCAGCAGGAGCCGTGCAGCCGCCGGG